TTTAGTGATAGTGCTGTTGCAGGCGAGGCCGCTGGGTTGGCCATGGGACTTGTTATGCTTGGCACCGCTTCAAAAAAAGCAATTGAAGAAATGTTGCAATATGCGCACGAAACTCAGCACGAGAAAATCATTCGAGGATTGGCAATTGGCATTTCGTTAATAATGTATGGTAAAGAAGAAACCGCTGATGTATTAATTGATGAGCTTAGTCGAGACAAGGTAAAAAGTTTTGTGCATTTATAATCGATATTTATATAGTATGTTGATTCTGTGCTTAGTTTATGCTAATTTTGTTCTTTGTAGGATCCAATTTTACGTTATGGTGGCATATATACAGTTGCTTTGGCATACTGTGGTACTGGAAATAACAAAGCCATTCGACATTTATTGCACGTAGCCGTTAGTGATGTCAATGACGATGTACGTCGGGCTGCTGTCACAGCGCTCGGATTTATTTTGTTCAGAACACCAAAACAGGTTCCTCGAATAGTACAATTATTGTCGGAAAGTTATAATCCAAATGTACGTTATGGCGCTACGCTAGCATTGGGAATCTCATGCGCTGGAACTGGTTTGATGGTACGTCATCTCAATAATTATTAAATTCCAGAGCATTAAATACATACATATTCATGTGCATACATAAATGTTAGGAAGCCATTGAGCTTTTGGAACCTATGACTAAAGATCCAGTTGATTATGTTCGGCAAGGAGCATTTATTTCACTTGCTATGATTTTGATACAACAAAACGATGCAACAAATCCAAAAGTAACACCAACGCGAAAACTATATGAAAAAATCATAAATGACAAACATGAAGACGCAATGGCAAAATTTGGTGCAGTTTTAGGTCAAGGAATCATTGATGCAGGTAAATAATGTAAACTTTCAATATATTATTGTTTCGTCTGATACTAATGTTTCAACTTATCTAGGTGGTCGAAATGTAACTATATCTTTACAGTCAAGGTCTGGCCACTCAAACATGCCGGCTATTGTAGGAATGGCTGTGTTTACACAATTCTGGTATTGGTTCCCATTAACACATTTCTTGAGTTTAGCGTTATCACCCACTGCAATCATTGGCTTGAACAAGGAGTTGAAAGTGTGTATTACCTTTTTTTGGGTTACTTGGTTTATCTAACTTACTAATAATAATATATTTAATGGTTTTGAAGATTCCCAAATTTGAGTTCATTTCCAATGCAAAGCCCTCACTTTTTTCCTACCCTGCAACAACTAAACCTCCAACAACTAGTGTTGTAGAGAAGGTAGCAACTGCCGTGCTTTCTACAACATCAAAAGCGAAAGCAAGAGCAAAAAAATCAGAAAAGGAAAAGGGAAATCAAGAAGGTGATGCAATGGATATGGTGAGTGTTACAACACAAATATATATTTGTAAATTTTGTAAATATTATTTATTTATTTATTCCAATCAGGATAAAGACGACCATAAAAAGGAAGAAGAAAAGGTACGCATATTATTTACTACGATGAATATTAATATATAAATATTTTTTTGAAATATGGTTGAGACTAATTCTTGTTGTCTAGGACGAAGTGAAAGATGACAAAAAGGGAAAGAAAAAAAAGGAAGAATCGTTTGAAACTCTCGAAAATATGGCACGTGTTTTGCCAGCACAGCTACAATACATTTCGTTCCCGGAAAATTCCCGTTATGTTCCTGTAAAAAAGGTAAATTAAATTATACCAGAAATTATAAAACACCTTTCATAGTTGAATGCTTTACATGTAAACGATCTATGTATAGGGTATCGTCGGTGGAATTCTGATGATGATAGATAAACATCCCGGTGAGCCAGAAGAATTAATTCTGCCAAGCACACCTGTTGGTAAGTTGAAATAGAATTTCTTTTCCTAAATTATTTTAAATTAATGTACTTTTTTCGTTTCAGCAACAACGGAAGTGACGGAAGAGGAGGAAGCACCACCACCGGAACCTTTCGAATATCCATTTGACGATTGAGTAAAAATAACGTAATATTTTGAATTAGTTGTCGTCTATTAATAATAAATATTAAATGTACGTATTTATTCTGAGCGGTCTTATAGAAACTATTTGGTTCGTTAATAGGGCTTTAATAGATAGATCACTTATATTAAATAAAAAACTTTGGTTAAATATAATTTTCATCGATTATTTATTATGCACATAATATGTAATCTAGTGTTTGGACATTTTTGATTAGGCTTGTGTCTCAATGCACACCTTAAATCAGAAAAATTTATATTTATCACTGTAACATTATCATATTCGCTACAGTGATAACTTTAATATTCACTTATATAGATGGACATCCCAAAATTAGCATCACATGGTTTCGACAATATGCCGAAATCAATGTGATGCAAATCATCACTTGGTTTGGGACGTCCCAAATAGTTTGGGTCCCATCTATAGTCTTCCCTCTACATTCATAAGAATTGATGTGTAAAAAATTTGAAGCATGCTCAGAACTTCCCAACCCTAATTTGTACCCCCGACCAATCAAATTTGAAGATCAGGTGTAACGTGAAAATCGCGATTTTTTTAAGAAAAAAATTTTGCTTCTTCACTATTGCACTTTGTTAACTCCCTAACCCTAAAGTATCCTGACCCTAACCCTAAACTAATGCGCTGTATTGTTTTGATCTCACATTACACAATTTTTGTGGGTGCGCTTAGGGATGGGCGTTAATATACCGTGGTATAATATGCATGGTATGTTAGCAAAAATGGTACGTATAATTGGTATTAGAGTTTGGAACCGGATTTGATCTTCGGATTTAAATCCGATTTCCTTCGGATTCGGATTAAATTCGAATATAAATCCGAACCTACCGAATCTGTACATTAATTTCCATTCTTGGAAATCAATAATTAAATAATTTCTTTACGCCCTTGATAGAAATCAATAATTACAATACGACCTGAGTCATCAGCTGGTAAAATTCGGGGTTTGGAGTGAAATATGCTACGTAGATTTTACTTTAACCCTAACCCAAACTCAGATTTCACTCTAAAACCCGAGTTTTACTAGCTGGTGATTCAGGTTTCACCCAGTCTTATTATAATTTCTTTACGCCCTTGATAGAAATCAATAATTATAATTTCTTTACGCCCTTGTGATGGTCTGTACGATACAATTGTATCTCTGTGAAAACAACGATGCATACGGAAAGCAATCAATTTTATCTTATCTTCATGCCTTGTGAACCTCAAAGTTTTTTAGTCCTTTGCGAGAGCTAAGGCTCATATGGAAAGTAATAAATTTACTTTTGGGCTTTAGCCTTTGCAATAACTCATGAAACTAAAATTCATCTAAAAAGCAATCGAGTTTGGCTTTACAATCTCATAACAACTTCTTATATGCAATTGGTTCTCTTTGAAAACTAAAATTTGTATGGAAAGCAATAAATTAAATTGTAGACTTGTTAATATAATAAATGATTAGATCTCTGTAAGAACTGATGTTTATAAAAAAAAATTAATTTGCTTTTATGAATACATTATTATTTCTTATAGAGAACTAAGCTTATATGACAAGTTTACTAAGTAACTAATTAGTGATTTAAATTATATAAATAATGTTGTATCGCAAATAAGACATGGGTATATGCAAAATGGCATTTTTTTCTGCTCTTTCTTCAGACCTTGACATTTATGAGCCTACTTCTGAAGTTGAGACATCAACTTTAGCAAGTTCAAACTCTTTAAACATTCGTAAAAAATGTAAAAGTAAAAATAGTCAAAATATCAGGATCAATAAAAGTCATACGACTTATTTTTTTTCTTGAGATTCTAACGACAATAATATCACTTATTGCTTGATATGTAGAAATTTTAATAATACCAATAAAAAGCTCTACCTTTATAATCGTAAAGGAGGTACAACTACAAACATGGCTAGTCACTTATAGGAAAAACATGGTATAACAAAACAAAATTATCGAACATATTTAGATGCAAATAATAAGATAAGAAATCGTGTATTTAATAATAATATTTGGTTTTGTTATAGTAATAAAACTTTTCAATTTATATTAGCTAAAAGAAAATTAAGTATTTCTATCACAATGTAGTAAAACCCACCAAGAAGTATTGTCCTGTTTTTTAATTAAATTTATAATAAAATTTGTGCAGCTGTTATATATCCTTCAATATAAGGATTTTTATGAATTCATTCATAGTTGTAGGCCTAGATTTTATATTCTATGTAACAAAACAGCAAAAAAGTTAATTTATAAAGTGTATTCATAGAGCATAAGCTAATTATGTGATTTATTTTCTAATACTACTATTTCAGTTCACTTAACAACTAATCTTTGGACAGCTAGGAGCAACTACAGATATATTGGAGTAACAGCTACCTGGCTTAGTCCAGAATTTAAATTTTATGAGGTTTTACTTACTTGTAATATTTTAGATCATCTACATACTAGCCAAATTATTAGTGAGAAACTATATCACGTTATTCAGTAATAGAATCTTACTGACAAAATTCTTACTATTACTATGGATAACAGTACAAACATAGTAAAATCTGTTAATCTTATTAAGAATTCCTTATTACATGTCGAAAGATAACCTTATGCAGCTCATACCTTGCAGTTATCTGTACATAAGGGTTTAAAATAATATAAAAGTATACATAGACGAATTAAGAGCTTGCAACTTTTTTTGAGGTTCCCAAAGTATACACAATAGCTAAGGGAGTCACAATGTGAAAGCCATATTACTGAAGATAGTAAAAATATAATAAGTCTTTTAGATATATTACTCGATACTAAAACCTGATAGAATTCCACTTTTATTGCATGGAAGTGACTTCTTGAATTACATAATTCAATTCGTCTAGTTTCAGCATCATTGTTAGCAAAGTCTGATCGCATATCTCAAAAAGAAGGAGAAAAGTTAAAAAAATTATATTTAACAATTAAAGAAAAAATGCAAATATAAAAAATATTTTATATATTTATTTATTTATTTTTATTAAAAAAATTATATACAGCAAGGTCTGGTGATCTTAGTGTAATAATTAGGTTGCCAGACTACTATGCAAGAGGTCTGGGGTTCAAATCTCACTGTCAACGAATTTGAATAATTACCTGGACCTTTGTACCCAACTTAAGATAAACTCTGCTTGTTTCTGAGGGTTACAACCCTATAAATCACATTGTACTAATATCAATCAGATATTAGAAGTATAATGCAATGTTTGAGTTATGTTGTATGAATAAATCTTGATAGGATCTATGGGCAGGGGACCTGTATGGTAGAAATCCTGAGTTTGGTGAAGTAGTACAGATTTTGATAGTTAAGTCAGTTAATATCTGATCCAGTAAAAAACTTGAGTACAAAGGATATGAGATTGATAGGTATGAGTAAGTCTGCTGTGTAATGCAGCCTGGTGCCTTGCATTAGTAGCAACACCAACTTGGCTTGGTGGCTAACTAGATTGGGAGGATCTACTTCGTGAAATATCTGGCTGAAACTTGGAGAACTATATCTGGTGGACGGCCATGGCAAGAACTAGGTTTGTATGAACATCGACAAGGGTCTAATCCAGGTGAATCTGTAAAATAGACACATGACGACTCTGGTAGGAATTACTTCTGAGGTTAACCGAAGCTCTGCGGCTCACAATACGTTGGGTATATGTATCCTGAGAAAACCTAAGCTGTGCAGAGAAATAGATCCGTGGGTGAACCAGCTGGCACCAGCAGTTGGTCATAGTGGTGACGTTAGTTTGGAATGGGGGGGAGGGTTAATGATCAGAGTGTGTAAATAGGTAACTCACAGGC